GTTTTTGGGGGCTGGTACGGGTAGCAGGCTGGTACAACCCGGAGGGTAGGGGGGAACTAGTAGCAATCGGGATGGTAGCAAATATCTGAAGCAAAAGTAAAAATGGTAGGGGGTTGTAGGGTAGAAGACGGGTACTGGTAGGAAGGTGGTACAGGTACGGACTTTTGCAATCGGGATGGTAAAGAATTTCCAGATGCAGAAGGTGAAACTGGTAGGGGGCATACTTTTTAGCTGGACTTGTACGGTAGGAAGGTGGTAGGGTAGCAGGGGGTAGCAATCGGGACTGGTAGCAAAATTCCTGATAGAAAAGAAGGGGGAAACGGGTAGTGGGCTGTACTGGTAGGGATTTGTACTGTTAGGAAGACTGGTATGGTAGCGGCTAGTAGCAATCTGGACTGGTAGCAGAAGGTTTTGATAGCAGAAGGGGAACTGTAGGGGGCGTAGTGGTAGCAGGAGGAATGGTAGGAAGGCTGGTCTAGGAAGGTTGGGTATGGTAGCGGGGACTATGGCAATCTGGACTGGTAGCAGAATACCTGATACAGAAGGGGAAACTGGTAGTGGGCTGTACTGGTAGCAGGAGGACTGATAGGAAGGCTGGTACTGGTACGGGACTGGTTCTGATCGCAGAGAGGGGTACGGGGAGTAGAGCAGTACTGGGTAGAGACAAGTACTGGTAGCAAGAGGCGGTACATGGTAGTAGAGCTAGAACTTGCAGCAGACTGGTACTAGGTACTTGTAAGTGAAGGCTGGTCTAGGTGGCAGGACTTAGTTCTGATAGCCAGAGCTAGTAACTGGTAGTAGAGATGGGTACTGGTTGACAGAGGCAATACTGGGTAGTCAGAGGGCTGTATGGCTGGGTAGCCAGGATCTGGTTACTGATAGTAGGAGATGATTACACTCGTTTAGGGGCAGGACTGGTTCTTAATAGTAGAAGGCTGAGTGTCCGAAACCGTCGAAAGGGCATATAGCCATGAAATTACGGTATGCAGACGTTTTCTGGTAGGGAAGGCTGCGTACTGGTAGCAGGACAGGTTCTGATCGCAGAGAACTGGTGACTGGTTACTCACTTATAAGAGAGTCAGTACTTGTAGCAGGGAATGGTTCTGGTAGCAGACGAGTGGGTACAAGGTAGCAGGACTGGTTCTGGGTACTAAGTGGTGATTACTGGTTAGCAGGCACTGGTGTCTGGATAGCAGGGAGGTGGTAACTGGTAGCAGATGGTTTGGCACACTGGTTTCAGGGCTGGATACTCATGCTAAAGCTTATTCTTAGATTTTAGGTACTGTGGGATAGGGCATACATCGTCCTGTGAGGATTTCCCATTTTCCCTTCCCAACATCCTCCTTCGGGGAGACTATTTGCACCACCCCCCAGGAAGTGAGTGGGAGCTTAGCTATCCATGGTGGACACAGACAGTGAAACAAAAACTGGACAAAACTACTTTGTCCTGGAGTTCCCATGTTTTACTGTTGTTATAGATCGTACACAGATATAACATATCTCTACAGTCACCACGATTTCTCAATATTGTAATATTAATATTTGTTCCTCTTCTAGCTCAGTATGAGGGTACACTTTTTTTTGCATGCAACTCAAACTTCAGCCTCTTTTTCTTCCCGCTAAGGATGAAATGGGATTGTGAACCTCTGTGGGAGGGTTAAGACTTCATTCTTGTTTTATTTTAATTTTGGGATTATTAGAAATAATTGCACAGTAGTTAATCATTCTCTATCATTAAAAAACAATCCTCCCCCCTCCCACCTCAACACCGAACAGTGTTGATTCATTTTTATATTTTTGTTTATGACTTTTGGATAAAAGGTTGCCTAAGATTCCATTTGTTCAACCATTGTGAACGAACAGATTGGGTTGAAAAATTGAATAGAACATATTCTCAATGTGTTTGGCCAGCATGTTTGCGTGCGGCCCTTCCCTTCACCAAGCCTAACAGGTCAGAACACCCAAGGTGTTGGTTCCAATTTACAGGTTGGAGCATTGGAGTTGGGCATAATTTAGCCCCCCCCCCACCCCCCCCCCCCCCCCCCCCCCCCCCTAGTCCCTTTCTTGTAATTCTCCAACGTTAAAGATCTCCCTTTCATAACTCCAGATTCATGTCTACCTGGGAGTTTTGGGGTGTTGCAGCCCACCGGTGTATGTTTCAATAATCCTTCTTTTACTTTCTCCATAATATGAAATTTATCAATCAATCATCCAGCAAGGGTGGAGGGAACACTTTCATGATCTCATAACCTCTCATCATCATCATGCAGGGTCCGGGGGAGAGCAGATACAGTGAATGCGGGGTCCGAGGAGAGTGGATATAGTGAATGCTCTCGGGTCCGAGGAGAGTGAATATAGTGTGGAATGCGGGGATCCCGGGGGGGCCAGATATAGTGAATGCAGGGTCAGGGAGACCGGATATAGGTAAGAAAAATGCGGGGTCCGGGGGGGATTAGCGGATATATGTGAAAAAAAACTGCCGGGGTCCGGGGAGAGAGCGGATATAGTGAATGCGGGGTCCGGGGAGAAGCGGATATAGTGAATGCGGGGTCCGGGGAGAGCGGATATAGTGAATGCGGGGTCCCGGGGAGATGAGCGGATATAGTGAATTGCGGGGGTCCGGGGAGAGCGGATAATAGTGAATGCGGGGTCCCGGGGATAGCGGATATAGTGAAATAGCGGGGTCCGGGGAGAGCGGGGATATAGTGAGATGCGGGGTCCCGGGGCGGTTAGCGGATATATAGAATGCGGGGTCCGAAGGGAAGAGCGGATATAGTGAATGCGCTCAGGGGTCCGGGGAGAGCGGATATATTGAATGAGGGTCCCGGGAGACCGATATATAGTGAATACGGGGTGGTCCGGGGGGAGAACGGATAAAAGTGATTTGAAGTGCGGGGTCCGGGGAGAGCGGATATAGTAAAATTGAAGGGTCTGGGGAGACCGGATATAGTGAAGTGAATGCGGGGTCCGGGGAGAGCGGATATAGTGAATGCAGGGTCCGGGGAGAGCGGATATAGTGAATGCAGGGTCCGGAGAGAGACGGATATAGTGAATGCAGAGTCCCGGAGAGAGCGGGATATAGTGAATGCAGGGTCCGGATGAGAGCGGATATAGTGAATGCAGGGTCCGGGGGAGAGCGGATATAGTGAATGCAGGGTCCGGGGGGAGAGCGGATATAGTGAATGCATGGGTCCGGGGAGAGCGGATGAAGTGAATGCAGGGTCTGGGGAGAGCTGGGATATAGTGAATGAAGGGTCTGGGGGAGAGAGCAGATGTAGTGAATGTGGGGTCCGGGGAGGTAGCGCCTATAGTGAATGCGGGGTCCGGGGGATGAGCGCATATAGTGAATGTGGGGTCCGGGAGAGCGGATATAGAGATATGCAGGGTCCGGGGTAGAGCGGAATATAGAGAATGCAGGGTCCAGGGTGGGGAGAGGGGGGGGGGGGGTGGGGGCGGATATAGTGAATGGCGGGGTCCCGGGGATGAGCGGATAATAGTGAATGCCGGGTCCGGGAAGAGCGAATATAGTGAATTGGCGGGTAGTCCGGGGAGAGCGAATGAAGTGAATGCAGGGTCTGGGGAGAGCGGGATATAGTGAATGAACTGGGTCTGAGGAGAGCAGATATAGTGAATGTGGGGTCCGGGGAGAGCGGATATAGTGAATGCGGGGTCCGGGGAGAGCGGATATAGTGAATGCAGGGTTTGGGGAGACCGGATATAGTGAATGCAGGGTCCGGGGAGAGCGGATTTAATAGTGAATATGAAGGGTCCTGGGGAGAGCAGGATATAGTGTGAATGAAGGGTCTGGGGAGACGGATATAGTGAATGAAGGGTCTGGGGAGAGCGGATAATAGTGAATGCAGGGTCCGGGGAGAGAGCGGATATAGTGAATGAAGGGTCCGGGGTTTAGTAACACTTTAAGAAGTAGTTTAAGAGTTATTTCTTTCCAGACTGCGCTAACAACTAGGTTGCACATTTCCAGAACTGGAGGACCACGTAAGACTAGGATTTAGGGATAGCTAATCACACCGGTGGCTGTTAGCCACAGAAATGGTTAAACTTTCAGAGTATAGTAGGCATAGTATAGTAGCCCAAGTAGCCATCAAGGGCCAGAGCTGTGACAACCGATTCATATGAACAATACTGACATTGGTTATATACTGTAATACATATGATAAACTCCCATCTTCCAATTAGGTGATAATTATAAAACTAATTACGCTGATATAAAAAAAAGTTAGTTTGCTTTCAAGTCAAACTCTAGTATTATAAATTCCTAGAAGAAATGTAACACATTTTTTAAACATTTTTCTTTTCACTTTTTCTACGTTATCTTTAGAATCATGACCCTGCTGATATTCCAGTTATACCAACTATAAGTGGAAATACATACAGGTACGAATAACAGTCTGGTTATTATTATTTTATGCATTATATGGCCAAATGTATTGTGGACAACTCTCCAAATGATTCACTTTCAGGGGTCTCCAGCAAAGGGTATACTGGTACTGCTTACAACATACAAAAAACATTTCAGACAAATGTGCTCTTTCAGCCTTTGGGGGTGAAGACCCATTACTGTTGGAGCATGACTGTTCCCCAAAGACAGCTCCATGAAGACATGGTTTGGGTGTGAAGGAATTGAAGTTGCCTGCACAGAGCCCTGACCTCGACCCCCCTATTAAAGAGGAGCTTCGTTCTCCCCCAGATACTTACCTGTCCAGGGATCCAGGGCTGTCCTCACCTGAGCCGGTTCTTCACTGGTCTTTGCATCTTAACTAAGGGAAACTGGCTGTGAAGCTTTGTGGCTCCACAGCTGACATTCTGCTGCATTGTGCCGTGTGAATGGACCTACAGTCTTCTGGGACCTGTGGTGTGTCCAGAAGGGGGGGGGGGGACTTCAGCTTGGATCGCCTAGGTGATCCGGGCAAAAAATGGGAGTGGGTACCTGTCAAAACCAGATACCTGCTCCTTCCTCCGGAAAAAAAAGAGAGACCAAATGTTATGGGGGGGAGGCAGAAAATCAGAACTTCCCCTTTTGCGTGAGGTTCTGCTTTAAATACCTCCAGAATTTCAAGCTAGGTCTTCTCATCCAACATCCATACCGGATTTGCACAAATGAGCCCAAAATCTCACAGGCACATTTCAAAATATTGCTCCCAGACACAAACGGAAGCTGTTATAGCCACATGCAAAGGGCGGGGCCCTCATATCAATCACTGTTCGTGATTTTGGAATGGAATGTCCAAGAAGCCTATAAGGATGGGAAGGTCAGGGTCCACAAACTGCTCTGCCATAAAGGTCTTTGCTCAGGCCCTTCCTGTAATAGGGTGACAACTGTCTCCTGCTGTTGTCCTGCATTATTGCTTTTCCAACGAAGACTACAAATGTTCATGATGTCACACATTCTGCAGGCATGGTCTACATTGTCACCATTAGATAACTGGCCATGAGAAATGCCATGCAGCCATCTATAGAGTGCATGAGGACAGGAAGAGGGTGAAGGAGATCAGCAGCACTGATATGCCACAAAAGATTACAAAGGGGAAAAAACTGAATTTTATTTAAAAACATGGGAGACGTTCTTTATACTTGGTGCATTCGCAAACCAAAGGTCATTCAGTTAAGCCGGCCATAGATGGTTTGAATCTGATCAATTTGAATAAATTTCAACCATCCATGGGCAGGCTGATTGTACCCAAGTTGATTGTTGTACAACCAGCATGTCAGATGTTTCATGTGATTTTTACAGCTATTACAACTTCTAGCAGTAATCACTGTGTTGTCACGCCCGGGACAGCTCCCCCCCCCCCCCCCCCATCGAAAGAGCACAATAGCTCTGCAGGAGGGATTCCCCCATCAACCCCCGGCTGCAGGAAAGAAAATCTCATCATTTATGGCCTGCCTTATAGACGGGTCGAAAATCGGCTTATTTTCGCACTGTTAGTGGGTTAATTGGTTGGCCATTTTTTGGGGTTTTGGCACTTTTTTTTATATCAGGCATGTTGGAAACTTCGCAGTCAATTTTGACGATCGGCCGATTTTCCCAGCAATGATGGGCAAATCGGCCGATCGTTTTATCGATAAAAAAAATCTACGCATGAGCCGTGACCTGCAAGAAGAAAAAGAAGAAGGAGAAAAAGAAGAAGAAGAAGAAGAAGAAGAAAAAAAGAAGAAGAAGAAGAAGAAGAAGATAAGAAGAAAGAAGAAGAAGAAAAAGAAGAAGAAATGAAAAAGAAGAAGAAGAAGAAGAAGAAGAAGAAGAAGAAGAAGAAGAAGAAGAAGAAGAAGAAGAAAGAAGAAGAAAAGAAGAAGAAAGAAGAAGAAGAAGAAAAGAAGAAGAAGGAGAAGAAGAAGAAAAAGGAGAAGAAAAAAAGAAGAAGAATTCCAGTCCGCTATTATATTTTACATGAAAAAGTCTTGCGGTTGCAACAATGTATCTATTTGTATCCAAATAAAAACATCTGTATCCGAAATGGATACAAATGGATACATTGTTGCAACCGCAAGACTTTTTCATGTAAAATATAATAGCTGAGCTCCCTGCAGGGGACAGAAGTAAATATGGGGTTAAATGCCAGCCGTAGACAGGACAAAAAATCGGCCAATTTTTTTTTTTCCATTGGTGGTAACGTTGGCTGATCGAACGACCGATTTTTCTTTTCGGCTGGTTTTCGACCCGTCTATGGCCTGCATTAGGGTTTACATGTACTTTACAGACCCTGTAAGACTCTGCAATACCTTGGCTGAAACAATCTCAGCTTTAAATAGTTTTAAGTAGCCCTATCAGGGTTCTTCATGATGGACCTCAGTGGCTAATCTCTATTTCTCACTCATACAGGTTGGAACTTAAATGTGCCGGACGCTTCTGCTGTTTAGAGACCGGGATTAAATTTCAGGTGACCCGTCCGGTAACTATTGAGTATGGACTGGATTCTTGGTCTAAATACATGGGCAATCCGGAGCTCCAAGAATCTGGAGTCCTGGGACCTCTGTTCAACATTAAGACACCAGTAGAGCCAAATGTAGTGTCTGCGGTGTACCTTCCACATTATCTATGCTTGAAAGGTAAGTCAAAGTTACACATAATCTGCAGTGAATGTTGCTTATAGCTTACATCATCACAGAAGCAGAACAACCTAACATTACAGTGACCCTCTAAACTACTATAAATCTTCTATAAATCTATAAATATCAACTATAAATCTTCATATCAAGCCATACCTATAAAAGAAAATTCTGAATGTTCACTCTCCCTGCTGCCCAGCTACTTGCCGCCCCCCCCCCCCACCAAAAAAAAAAGTAGAAAATTAAAAAAAAAAAACAGTAGGAAATATTGAATTGACAGAACATGAAGCTGCTAAATTTCTTTTCATTTGCAAAATTAAGTGCCATAAAATGCCACCAGCACCAATATTAAAGACACAATCAGTGTGACAGATGGACTGTATCAGTGGCTGGCCGTGGCAGCGTGACAGTTGCGGTGAGTGGAGGGTGATGGATCCACACTCTGACAGATCCCAGGCTGGAATTCCCCAGGCAATGGGGGGAGATAAAACAATGTGACAGCAGGCCCCCCCAGCCCCCACACACACAGAGAACACCTAAACTGAGTGATCCCACAGAGTCACAGATCTGACACAACACACCACCAACACTGACACAGATCAGTAGGCACTAGAAGAGCAGGCTGTGGGATTGTGATGATGTCATCACTCGTTGACACATTGCACATGCGATGGATGGTCACACTCACACAGACAGGAGATATCAGAGTCAGACATTATCTTCCTCCTGCAGCTCCACCTCCGCTAATGAATGGGAAAAGAAGGCCTAGAACTCCACAGTGATCAGCATATGCCAGCCAGCTTGCAGTAAGGGACTGAGTCTGAGAGGAACACTGGAAAGAGCAGCAGCTAAGCTGCTACACTGTCCCAGACACTCGGCATTTTCCTCTGTTCTTTTTTCCTACACTTTGCTGCCCCTCCCCTCAGCTGGAGGATTATTCATGACATGGCAGCATCCCTCGCAGAGAGAGAATGGCAGTCTGGCTGCGCCCAGGCACCCCTAGGTGGCAGTGCACCCTAGGCGGCCGACTAGTTTGCCTAGTTGAAGCACCAGCCCTGCCCACACTGATGAACACCACTATAATTCTGGGAATCTACATATGAAGTCTGAAGGTAACCCAACATATCCAGGAGCGTTCCTGGGTCCCCCACAGCTCTCCCTGGTTCCTCCTGCTGGCCTTCACCTCACTGCTCCACAGTTTTTCAGATGGTTGTATTAGGAGTAACTAGAGTGGAAGCACAGAGGTCTAAGGGTTGTCGGTCAGGGTATCTGAATTACAGGTAGGCTTCTTCTCCACGCCACAGAACTTCTTCTATCACTCTGGCTTGTGACAGAAGGAAATCAAGAGTGAAGTGCCACACCGGAAACTTCACCATCCAAATACAGCTTTATTCCAATATCAAATACAAATGAATTGGCACAAAGCCAGTGTGCTTTGGGTGTCATACAACATCCCCTTCAATCTGTCAACAGCTGATTTAGGCTGACATTCGAACCGGTTGCTGAAAGATTGAGAGCTCCATGTTTAAAACCTTACATCTATAAAAAGTGTAATTTTAATCAACCTTAAGCTTTGATATTAGGGGATGTTGTTTGATGGAAAAACACGGTTGCTAGGTGACATTCCCTTTGAAACAAAGCTGTTTCTGGACGTTGAAGGTTCAGATGTGATGCTTCCGTCTTCATTTCCTATAAACAGTCTTATGACATCAGCATTGCTATTATGTATTCATATACTTGTATGAGGAGTCAAGAGTCTCCTCTTGCACAATTCCCATGCCAGCAACCCTGGAAGTTGCAATAGGGTCTGGAAAGGAGATGGAAGGGCCCATATGCC